TCTTTCCCTTGTGTATGCATTAGTTAAACATAGTAATACATGAAATGAAACAGTGATGGCTCAGTTGTTAATGTTTTCTCTCAGAGCCCCCTTTTTTTTTTCTGCATGGCATTTTACAAAGCTTTCATCATGATCATGGAACAAAAAGCAACTGTTAGAATACGGGCTTATTAATTTATAATAACAATATTATGCAAGTACAATTATTAATGGTTTTAATACTAATTTTATTAATCCTGCTTATGTACATGACAGTGCCATTAATTACAGACTAGAGGCATCTTACATAATTAATCTTTTGGAATGTTACACCTATAAGGAAAGTCTGCATAAACTTCCATTCCTTGTGTCTGTGGGATGCTGTTGGAGGAAATATCCCCACAGTGGCCACTGCACTCCAGTCTCTAGGCTCTGCTCTGCTTTAAGCACTGTTGAGTGGAAAAGGCACTTTCTGCATTGAATCTACCTGACAGCTGTGCTCAGTGTTTTTGACTGAGCAGATCTGAGTTACCCAGCCATTGTAACCCATGAGATTGGGTGACATGATGGATCAGAGAGCAGAGATTGTTGCTGAGCTACATCTGGGTGACAGTGATACACTGGGCTGAATTCTTGAACTGGGCTAAGCTATACTTGATGCAGGACCTAGCAGTGATGAAAACATGGCTTTGCATCACCTTTGCAGCAAGTTGATCCTGAGGTCAGTCTGGCAAATGGAGTGGTCTCTCTGGCAAGCACCTGGCCAGACCTCAATAGTGTTGAATTACAGATGACTTCGGCCTCATAACCTCAGCCAGCTGAAATTATTTTCTCCCTCTCATCCCTCAGCAAAGACTGAACTTCTCTGAAGAAAGAGGTATTTATTATTTTGCACACACGATAGTTCACTTGGCTTAAAGGAAACTGAGACACAGATGAGCAACTGGGTGACGTACCACAAAGCCTGAGCTGGACTAATCATGAGCAGTCTGTCTACGGCAGTTCCAGCTACATGAAATCAACACTGCAGCTCTTAGCCCTCTTGAGAGCATGCGAGGGAAATACGCATCACTGAAACAACAATGCACCCTTTCTGCTATTCTACTTTGTAAATCAAGCTGCACCCTAGTTTAAACCTTGCAAATTGCTTCAGTTGCTAAGGAGATCAGCAAATAATTAAGAAAAAAAGGCAATGATAAGAGGCAGCGCCTGGTACAGTATCAGTAATCAGTCTCCAAGCGATGCCAGATCTTAACGAAAGTTTAGTTGCCCAGCGTAGGATCCACACCGCCTCCAAATGCTTCTCTGACGGGCTAAACTTCAGAGAAACCCCATTGCCTACGACGGGGGAGGACTTCTGCCAGCCTCCCTCCGGGGGCTGCTGGCTGGAGGCCGCCCCGATCCCCCCCGGGAGTGGGCGGAAGGCAAAGTTTCAGCGAGCCCGGCCAGCGGGCGGGCGAAACCGGCGTCGGTACGAGGGCACCCACCGGCACCGCCGCGGCCCCTCGCCTCACCC